GCACTCTCCGCTCTCTCCGTCGCCGTGCTTGGGGTGACGAGATGACACAATTGGCCCAGGGCGTCCTTGAGAGTCTCCAGTTGCTCAGCCACCTGCAGCCATCGCCGATCAGCGTCTGATGGTGTCGGCGGCCCTGACACTGTGGCTACATCTTCCACTCCCGTCCCCGCACTCGTTTCAGCAGGGCTCTCCTCCACCACCCTGGCAGGATCCATGTTTGGAGGGAAGTCTTCGTCTTCGGACGAAGAAGCCGATGCCGGCGCTGGAACATTTTTCTTTCTCACTTGTTTCGACATGCCGTTGCACTTCCGACACCAATGTAATAAAGGACTCGACCACGATGTCTGGCTTGGTGTCCTTTATTCGGTTCTTCTCTCTTAACCCGCACGGCTGTCCTTCTATAAGACTCTATACTGACACTGATACTGCTCTCCTGCAGTTTCTCCCCTCGTCGTTCTCTCAGCCTCTCTCTCCTCTCGTCGCTCTCGTAGCCTCTCCCTCACACACAGCCTCGCCGGCTGTGTTCCCCGCAGCTCCTCGTCCGCCTTCTCTCCAGCCGCCCCACCGCTGTCTTCTCTCGCAGCTCCGCTGGCTGCTCCCTTAGCTGGCCACCGCTGGCCGCCGCTGCCACCCCTTGGCTTTGCCCACGTGGCCTTACTCTGGTCCAGTCCCACTCGTTCTGCCTTCCTCTTCCGGTCTCCTCCCTTAAGAACCTTAACCTTTCCTCCCACGTCACCTAACTCCACCTCTCCGTGACGTCACATCCGGGAGGTCGCCCGCGCCCGCATTACACGTGGACTGACATTCAATTCCGTGGGCTGTTGCAGAGACGCACCTATTCCCGCTTGCCTTCCCCATCAAATCTCTCACGTTGTGTTTGCTACTTGCCCAGTTTTCCGCGTTCCGTTGCGCGCGGTTTGCAATTCGCTTCGCGCTCAGTCGGCGGTCGCCGCTGAGGTCTCGACGGGTTCCTCGTTCCCGTCGCTACTCCGTGGCCCCTGCAGCTGTTCCCCGTTCCGTTGCGACGGCGCGCCCGATGCCCACGCGATCGAGGGCGATGTTTGGCACGTACGATGGAGATTGGTTGATTGGTTGGCGTATCGATAGGCAACACCAACATGTGGACCGATACGCAAGCTCATAGATAGACACGTGAAAACGTGCCTAAAGAGACACAGGCAAAGATCCCCGTATAGCCTCAACAGACTGTTGGGGCAAGTGCTGTTAGCGAGCACCTATGAAGGTCGGCACGGCACACGAGAGGGTGGGTAGCAAACACCACGCCCGGCCGCCTTTGTCTTCCCAGTGGCGATGTTTACAACACATCGCACCAGATACTCATTTGAGGCTGAGTTGATCTAGGGGAGGCCCAGGACCGGTTCAGATAATCGTCACAGGTGTTGGCCGTGAGCGGGAATCGAACTCGGGTTTCCAAGGTTTGTAGCGCAGCGTAGCGCTAACCACTACACTACCGCTCCCCTAAAGAGAGACACACACACATATGGGACAGGCAAATGAAAAGAGACAGAGAGAGACAGACTGAGAGAGACGCCGTGCCGGCCTTCAAGGAGCAGTGGGCACAGGAGGAGGCGGTGTGCTCGGTGGCAGGTGACGGAGAGCTCTGCATGCAGTTATGAGCTACCCGTCGGAGGGCGTTGGCCTGCGAGAAGGGCTGCGTGCAGATGCAGCACTTGTCGTAGTTTGAGGGAGAGCGAGAGAGTGAGCGAGCGAGAGAGGGCGACATGGAGTAGGAGAGGGGGGCAGAGAGGGGGGTAGAGAGCGAAGGAAGGGGTAAGGAGAGCAGAGCGAAAAATATTTGTTAAATCTTTCATTTACAAGGAGGGGGGGGGGGGGTTACATGAAGCAAATCATTAAAAAAACTAAAAAACGAAATGATGAACGAAGCAAAGTGCCGAATACATCGAGCATCTTCTTGTTTCCTCTGATCGTAAAAAAAAACAAGAGAAAAAAAGAAAAAAAAAGAGAGACAGACTGAGAGAGAGAGACAGAGAAAGGCTGGGAAATGCCGTGTGTGGAGACGTCTGGGGTAGGATCAACGTGTTTCAAGTGGAGATTAAAGTCGCGTGGAGCTTCAAAGGCAAAGCCACCCGTCTCATTTCATGAGCCCTAGCTCGTCATAAAGTGTGCAGGGGCCGTGCTTCTGGGGCCTGCAGGTTGCATTCTAAATAAGTGACAATGCGTCTAGAGTTTTATAATAATAACGTAAACAGAATAGTGTGTTTGTCAGCTTTGAAAGGGAGGCCCATGTATTTGTTTTTATGGATTACTCTTGCTAATACCATTTGGTAAGCCAGTAGAGTTTGTTTGACAAGCCTCACACTGCTGCTGAGACCCAGAAGTCTGGCATAAGTCCAAAGGGGCGCCGTGATGGTGAGATGTTAACTACCTCGCATGGTATGCAGGAGGGTCGTGGGTTCTGATCCCTACCCTTACGCCTGCTGTATATTTGAAGTTTGTATGTCTCTCTATCCATAGTCGCGTGGATTCTTCTCCGGGTCCTTCGGTTTTTCCCTCCACATTCAGAAAAATACGTTGCATATCAAGAGGAATTTAGCTAAATTCCTCTTGATATGCACATTCTTTTGTTAACGCTCTCTTCTTCTTCCACCTCCAACTCAGCTTATATATAAGCTCCTAGCTTGGCAGTGTCTCATTCTTCACCTGAAGACGGCTACTTGCGTTGTAGCCGAAACGTCGTGAGAATTATTTGATTTATTATGTTATATTTTTATTATTTTATTACTTCCCTTCTACGTGACTTTACCGAAAGAACCAAGAAGATGAATCCCTGCAGTCACGAAAGCTTTAAATCGAAACAGACAAATTAGTTTGAACAAATATTGTATTTTTTTAAATTTCTCTGGCCGCTCAGTGTAGAAACACGCGCTTAGAGTAATTGGCGGCTGCTGTAAATGTCCACGTGATGAGAAGTTCACTTCGTTGAGCTGTCATTTGTGTTAGCAAGGTCGCTTCTGAAAAATAACTGCATAGCAGCTCAGTGAGGCCTCACCTGGTGAAATAAATGTTTTTAAATGTTTTTTATTAAATCTCTATGGCCTCTCAGTGTACAATACCGATATACAATGCAGAATGCATGGTTATGTCCATGATGGCAAGCCGTACAGGTCCTCCTGAGGCAGAAAAACAGCCACAGACCGTCGCATTCCCACCACCACCACCACAACCACCACCACCATAACCACCACCACCATAACCACCACCACCACCCTTGATGCTTGGGATGAGGTGCTTATGTTCAAAAGCAGCGTTTGGTTTGAGCCAAACATCACGTCTCTCATTGAGGCCAAACATTTCAACCTTTGACTCGCCTGTCCAGAGACCATTGTTCCAGAAGTGTTGTGGATCATCTCACGTGCTCTTTGGCGAATTTCAGACCGGCAGCAATGTTCTTTGTGGAGAGCGGTGGGTTTTTCCTTGCTGCCCTTCCATGAACACCATTCTTGCAAAGTCTTTTTCTCATAGTTGAGCCATGAACACTCACATTAGCCAAGGCGAGAGTGGCCTGCAGATCCTTGGATGTTTCTCTGCGGTTCTTTGTGACTTCCTTGATGATTTTCAGGTTTGTTCTTGGATATAGTTTGGTAGGACGACTGCTCCTGGGTAGAGTGATTGTGCTCTTGAACTTTCTCTATGTGTAGACGATCGGTCTGACAATGAATTGGTGGAGCCCCAAATCATTAGAATTGGTTTTGTAACCCTTTCCGGATTGATGAGCATCAATAACTCTTTTTCTGAGGTCTTCAGAGATGTATTTTAATCGCGGCATGACTTGTTTCCACGCACCTCTATGGAGTGAAGACAAAACTCACGAAGTTTCTGATCTTTATGTAGGGTGAGGCCTCCCAAACTCATGGGCTACATTGGGCCTGCACGGCATTCCCCTGAGCGCCAGGGGCTGTCGCTGATTCACGGACACGATGGGCGGGAGTGTCACGGGGGCTGGGCGATGTTTACCATGCGTCATCCCAATTGACAGGCCACGGTGGCGAGATGTGAACTACCTCACCTGGTGTGCAGGAGGTGGTTGGTTTCATCTCGACCCTGACGCCTGCTGCTGTATATTTGGAGATTGCGTGTCTCTTTCTCATTATCATCACGGTGGCTAGGAGATGTTAACTACCTCGCCTGGTGTGCAGGAGCTCGTGGGTTCGACGCCGACCCTGACACCTGCTGTATATTTGGAGTTTGCGTGTCTCTCCCTCTTCGTGGTCACGTGGATTTTTCTTCGGATCCTCCGGTTTGTCCCTCCACATGAAGATCTTCCTCATTATTTAAACTCCTGATTCTAATTATTATCTTAATTGATCTAATGAAACCAGGGGTTCACTTACTTTTTCACATACACTGAACCTTAGTTACTCATTGTTTGTTTAATTAATACATCGTTTTGTTTGAAAAGACGTGGAATTGGTGATTATAAACTCTGATGTACCCCCCTCTCACCCCCCACCCCATCTCGCCCCCTCCCCGCTGGCTCGGTGTGGGGGTTAGAGGGGGTGGGTGACGCGGCCAATGGGAGTGAGCGGTGGGGGCGTCCCACGCGTGGCCCCCAGACAATGGGAACGGTGGCGGCACGCGACGGAAAATCGTGGGGAGCGAGGGAGGGGAGAGTGAGAACGAGAGAGCGAGAAGGGGAGGAGGGAGCGCGAGAGAGAGAGCGACATGGAGTAGCAAGAGAGGGGGTACAGAGAGGGGGGGGCCAGAGAGGGAGGTAGTGAGAGAGGGCAGGGGTAAGGAGAGGAGAGCAAGAAATATTTTGTTAAATATTTCATTAAAAAAGGGGGGGGTTGGTTACATAAAGCAAAGCATTAAAAAAACCCAAAAAAACAAAGTGCCGACTACACCGAGCATTTTCTTGTTTCCTCTGATCGTAAAAAAAGAGAGCGAGAGGGGGAGAAGGAGAGAGGGAGAGCGCGAGAGAGGCGATGTTCATTAGCGCCGTGAGTGCTTGTGGCAACAATCGTAAGGGCCCTTTTTTCAATGTGCCAATCGATTGCATCCTCTATGGAAGAGGGGACTTGCTTTGCTGCCCTTTAACCTCTCCCCCCCCCCCCCTCCTTCTTGGCCATCATCGGCGCAACACCAAACGTAGAGCTGGTGCTGCTGCTGCCCGGAGCGCGGCTTTGGCAATGGCCTAGGAGGCTATTTGGGCACCTGCTGGGGGCTGTTTCATGGTGCCGTGGTGCGTGATGCTGCGCGGAGTGTCCCTGTGCGCACGCCGCTAAGATTGTTGCGACGTGACAAGAGCGGCAGCGGCCGCGGCGGCAGAGGAGGAAGAAGAAGAAGCCAGGGACGGGGAGCACGATGAAGATTTCAAGAATCCTTCTGCTCTTCATCCTCTGCTTTCTCAACGGTGAGTCGCGCGGCGTTCAGTGTCGTCATCATCATCGTCGTCGTCGTTGTTATTCCTCGGGATCTCAGGGGCTCCGTGGATAAAGGGACCGGGACCGCTTTTGGCGGTCCAAAGTTTAGAAAAAGGGAACTTAGATAATGATTAAGGTCTTTGTGTGGCTTCTATCGCGTGAATATAAATGTGTCATTAAACTAACTACCACCCGACATAGTAAAGTCTGTCACGTAAACAAAACTTGCCAATTCGTTGCTCGCTCAGCACACCGGTGTGTTGGAGAGTGAACCCACAGCGTGACGTTTCGCCAGTAATTTCAACCAGCACCATCAGGCGACAGCCAGAACTATGGAGACATCCTCCTCTGGTCTCTATTATGGATTATATTGGTCGCGACAGCCTACGTGCTAAACTGAACTTAAAGCGTTCACCTATTGAGTCAGACTGGCTTGCATCGATGAAAACTCTATTTTTTTACGAAAAATGTGTAGTTGCAGATCAGCCTAATTATTTTCCGTGGATTTTCAAGTTTTAATGGCGGGATAATAATAATGGGTGTATAGTGCCCCTCTTGATTAAAAAAAGCGCCTTTAAAGAAATTCGTTGTGATTTATACAAGCTAAGTAGGTGTCGACCTTGGTTAGTACAGGGACTCCTCTACTTACGAACGAGTTAGGGTTCCAGAGGAATGTACGTAAGTCGATTTGTTCGTAAGTCCAACTTCACTCGTGTTGATTCCAAATATTGTATGTTGCACGGCATGTACACTAAACACGGGGGATGGCTTCTATAGTTATATAATCTTCTGTAAATGTAGATGGTTCTTCATGTTCTGCAGATGTAGATGCCACTGATTCTTCATGTTCTGCAGATGTAGATGTCACTGTTCTTCATCTTCTGCAGATGTAGATGCCACTGGTTCTTCATGTTCTGCAGATGTAGATGCCACTGGTTCTTCACGTTCTGCAGATGTAGATGCCACTGGTTATTCATGTTCTGCAGATGTAGATGCCACTGGTTCTTCATGTTCTGCAGATGTAGATGTCACTGTTCTTCATCTTCTGCAGATGTAGATGCCACTGGTTCTTTATGTTCTGCAGATGTAGATGCCACTGGTTTTTCACGTTCTGCAGATGTAGATGCCACTGGTTCTTCACGTTCTGCAGATGTAGATGCCACTGGTTATTCATGTTTTGCGGATGTAAATGCCACTGGTTCTTCACGTTATGCAGATGTAGATGCCACTGGTTCTTCACGTTCTGCAGATGTAGATGCCACTGGTTCTTCGAGTTCTGCGGATGTAGATGCCACTGGTTCTTCATGTTCTGCAGATGTAGATGCCACTGGTGGTTCATGTTCTGCGGATGTAGATGCCACTGGTTCTTTACGTTCTGCGGATATAGATGCCACTGGTTCTTCACGTTCTGCAGATGTAGATGCCACTGGTTCTTTATGTTCTGCAGATGTAGATTACACTGGTCCTTCACGTTTTGCAGATGTAGATGGCACTGGTTCTTCATGTTCTGCAAATGTAGATGCCACTGGTTCATCATGTTCTGCAGATGTAGATGCCACTGGTTCATCATGTTCTGCAGATGTAGATGCCACTGGTTCTTCATGTTCTGCAGATGTAGATGCCACTGGTTCATCATGTTCTGCAGATGTAGATGTCACTGGTTCTTTATTCTATTCAGATGCAGATGCCATTACCGCCATCTATTGCGTGGCGGTTTAACATACGATTCTCTGTCCGAACAAGCAACTGGACAGGTTTGTTTGTATCTCTGAAAGTTCGTAAGTCGAATGTTCGTAAGTAGATGAGTCCCTCTAGAACTTTGCATGGGAGACTGCCTGGGAAATCCTGGCAGGTGTTGGTGGGCTTTGAGCAGGGAGTTTGGACGGGACATGGCAAAGCAGCGAGTGAGTTCGTGGACCTGTTTGTGTGGGACTCTGAGTGTTACTTCCCCGTATGTGTGGCGGGGTGTGGATAAGTGGGTAATCCATACCCAAAGGGCGTAACGATGGGTGGAGGGGGGGGAGAAGGTTGCAGAGTCGTGTGACGCGTAGGGGGCCCAGACGGCCACGAGGGGGTCCAGAATGAACAGATTAACAAGATTTATTTTTAAATAGTCCAACAGTGAACCATAAATGCCCCAAAAAACACATGGTTACAAGTTTAAAAAATTACATTGCCGAAAAAATGCACACAGTGTAAAATCTAGCAGCGCTATTGCTGGTGTTAGTGACTTAACAGCCAGATTATTTTTTTTACTGATAAGCGCATGCAAGCAAGACGCACGATAACTTAATAGTGAGTATTGTACCGTTACATATTTTTTTAATACTGTCACCATGAGACTATCTTCCTAAATCCAACACACGGTGAAACTAAAATAATATTTTTAGTTAGAGCCTCACATACTATTGTTATACGGGGTTAAAATATCCGTCAGTTATTTCAGTACAAGGTGAGTCGGGAGAAAGGAGGGGAGACCACAGTCAGACCTCGCATTCCCACCCCACTGAAGTAGTGAGCTGTACCTACCCCCGAGCCATCTGTTGCATCTGCTGGAGTATTGTGCTGAGGATGTTGCCACACTGTAGCCAAGGTGGATTCCCATCATTGGCTGAGGCCCATCATCATCATCGCCATCGTAATTCCTTCTGGGCGATTAAAATGAGTACCACCTCGTGATATCTCACGAAGTGGCAGCATCCTTTGCTTGCTCGAGTGTTAGATACGTTGAGTTGAGAAGTCAAAAGTGTTTCACTGCCCAAAACGTGCACTGGGAAATGCTCACCTCTTCTTTTTTTGTAAAAAGCTAACACCCGACATCAAATCTTTATGAGCTGTTGAATAACAATGGTTTTTTTATTGTTTAATCCGCGTCGAAAATAATATTCAACTATTTAAAACCCAAAAGCACATTTTGTGCAAAAGCCCCCCTGCGGCATTGCAGCATTAATCAGGCCTCGTGAATGACAATTATTCTAATTTATAACGCGCATTCTATCCTAGGATCACAATGCGCAATGAATGAAAAGCAGGAAACAAAAACAGAACCGACCAAACTAGAGAGGGAAGGCCACTTGAAAAGAAATTTGGTTTTCAAATCAGATTTAACTATATTACACCGACTCAGATTGCCTGAGTTGAAGTGGCGAGTGGTCAATACAAAAACAAAATTGGAAGCTTTGGTGGTTGTACACTCTTTGGTTCTTTCGGTAAAGTCACGTAGGTAAAGAAAATAAAATAAATTAAATCACGACGTTTCGGACACAACACAAGCGTCCAACACAACAAGCAGCTGCTGAAATCTTCTGGAGTCTTCTGCCTATTTCAGCAGCTGCTTCTTGCTGTGGTTGTCCCACCTGGTGACGGACGCTTGTGTTGTGTCCGAAACGTCGTGATTTAATTTTTTTTCTTTACCTACGTGTCTTTACCGAAAGAACCAAAGAGGATGGATCCTTGCAGTCACGAAAACTTCAAACCTTGGCGGTGTATCGCACTCGACTCACGAGGAACCGAGTTCAAATCAGCCTATCATCATCAATCACCGATCTCCGTGCCTGGCCAATGGTGAAACTGGCGATGGGCTACATTGGGCCTTCACGGCATTCCCCTGAGAGCCAGGCGCTGTCGCCAGAGGTCGCAAACGGGTTTTGATTCCTAACCCGTACCCGTACCCGGGCGCACCAGGATCGCAAACGGGTAGCCGGGTATCGGGTAGGGTACGGGTATCGGGTACCCGATTGCGACCTCTGGCTGTCGCTGATTCACGGACACGATGGGCGGGAGTGTCACGGGGGCTGGGCGATGTTTACCGTGCGTCATCCCAATTGACTGGCCACGGTGGCGAGATGTGAACTACCTCACCTGGTGTGCAGGAGGTCGTGGGTTCCATCTCGACCCTGACACCTGCTGTATATTTAGAGTTTGCGTGTCTCTCCCTCATTATCATCACGGTGGCTAGGAGATGTTAACTACTTCGCCTGGTGTACATGAGGTCGTGGGTTCGACGCCGACCCTGACACCTGCTGTATATTTGGAGTTTGCGTGTCTCTCCCTCATTATCATCACGGTGGCTAGGAGATGTTAACTACTTCGCCTGATGTGCAGGAGCTCGTGGGTTCGACGCCGACCCTGACACCTGCTGTATATTTAGAGTTTGTGTGTCTCTCCCTCTTCGTGGTCACATGGATTTTTCTCCGGATCCTCCGGTTTGTCTCTCCACGTTTAGTATCCACTTCACGCGTTCAGAGGATTTTTTTTGGCTGCAATACATTTCCACGTGACAATAAGCCACTTCGTTGGGCTATCATTTGTGGCCAGGTCGCTGCTGAAAAAGAGCTGTAGAGCAGCTCAGTGGGCCTTACCTGGTAAAAATTTGTAATAATTTAGTCGAGTTTGGTTCTTGCCTTGGAGTCCACAAGCCCAGTCCAGATGTTTCACTGGTCCGTACCACTCGATGTGTCATCACTTTACTGGTTCCAGTTTTTTTTTATGGGGCCACGTCTTCTCAATAGTTCACTCCTCTCGGCCGTAAAAACAAATGGATGCTGATAATGGTTTGCTCAACGAAACTAAACTATTTTACATTTTACCAAGTAAGGCCCACTGAGCTATAAAAAGTAGCTATTTTTCAGAAGCTACTTGGTTACATGGGATAGCTCAAATAAGTGGCTTATCTTCACGTGAAAATTATAGGCAAGAAAATACTTCGAACGCGTGATGTCGATTCTAAATGTGAAGGGGAAAACCCGGAGGAGCCGGAGAAAAATCCACGTGACCACGGGGGGAGAGAGATACAAACTCCAAATTTGCAGCCGGCGTTAGGGTCGGGATCGAACCTACGACCTCCTGCATATTGGTTAAGGTAATTAACATCTCCTAGCCACTGCAGCGCCATGCTCGTGGTGAGGGTAGTGGTACACTCCTTCACCACGCTGCTGGTGGTGGTGAGGGTGGTGAGGGTGGTGAGGGTAGTGGTACACTCCTTCACCAT